CTCAAAAAGATTATATTCACAAGAAGGGTAGACGTCAGGCAAACCGCTAACCATAAAAGAAACCAGCAACAAGAACATTTTAAGAACTAGCGCCATCACCTATGTCATGTGACCAGAAGATGATTATAACGATTACGTGAAAGTAAACGTGGCAATGTGCAATAACGTAGTGATTTATTACTATAAAGTAAAAACACAATCGATTCTCTTGAAATGCAACAAAGAAATTTTATAGAACAGATAGTACCTAAATCATTACTATTGTGTGAAATGAAACGCTTGTAAATTCTAATTAAATTCCATGTGGATCTTAATATTATCACAGTTAGGTATGTGGTTTATCCTCTCCTATCTTTGATTACTTCTATCTTGAACAACATAGAAGTAATCAAAAGAAATGGCTGATAAAGCAAGTAGTGCTTGTAACACATAATGATACACATATATAATACATAATGAATTAGTATTATTAAATTGATGACGATAGCAAAGTTGGGACTCTGTTGACGTCGGCGTCGGCGTCGGCCCGATGTGTGCAGGGAGTTTGTGAGCGCCCCTGTAACGGTGGCAAAGCCGAGTTTTCGAGAACTCATCAATATGTGATCTGTTACATTTGGCTTGCAGATGCAATGACGCGCGCCGCAGCCTCCCATCTCATCGTTATTCTTGTTTGTAAAAACAATCTTTCGTACCTATGTATAATATGTCAACGATAAACAACTGATATGTTAATATTCATCGCTAGTTGTCTTCACACTCGACATTGATAAACACTCACGAGCCATATTTAAGATGTAGTTTAGTTTTAATACCCTGCCCTTCTACTACAACAATTGAGTGACATTACTCTTAATAGAATATTTCTTCTCCTAAACCTGATCTAAACACACAAGACAAAATACATAGTCAATAAATTATTTTATATATTTTTAACTTTACGCGCTAATAGTGGTGGAGGAGTTATCCTTTAAACTATTTAAATTGTTAGGTATGACGTGTACTTATTTACAAGGAGACATGACATTGACCTGGAGGTTCCCAGGTGAGGTTTAGTGCGAGTGATCTTGACTAACATTTAGCAGGCACCGTTTCATAATTAAACACGAACTTCAGAAACATTATGCAACCGTTAGCCCAAAATTCAATCTATCCACATATAACACGTTTCTTTATATTCATTCAGTCGCAAAGCAACTGGACCTCCTTAGTATTTATTTAGATATAAAGCGGTTTTGACAATCGTCGGAAGTAGATCAAACTTTACACATTCTAAATAACTTTTAGTTTACGTTACAGGTGCGTGTGTGTAAGTGTGCTGATTGGCAGACCACTGAGAACAAACACAACAGCCTTTTTACAGAGATTTAAAGAAAATTCATAGCGTAAACATGTCTTTAGAAAATAATATTTGATTACTAGTTATTGCCCTGATATAACAATATAAATTACATGCGATGGACACACTCCCAATTTATTTATATGATTTTTATACTGCTACTTCCCTGAGAACGCGAGCCTATTTAATTCGCAAGGTAGACCTACGAGTATGTATGTATATATTTGGACAATCTGCTATAAGAGTATTTTCTAAGAATCTTCATTGTTTAGTGAGGGATGAGAAATCACTGTTATTACATAAACTAATGGGAATGTCATCAGAGGGTGCTTCGCCAATATTCGTGGAAGACCCGACCTTCAGGTGAAGTGTAAAAAACAAGGTCCCGTTGCCTACCTGATACCTGCACGCTATTGTACAACACACTAGATGGATAGCAGTCATCTCTTCTCATAATACACGTGTTTATCTGATACGTGCAGCCCGCGCTTGCTTATTAAACTAATGAAGGACATTTTTTGACAGAATCTTATCGTTTAGTACTACCGAGGTGTCAAAAAAACTAGGTTCAGGCTGTGTCTCTTGTGAGTAACCACAGAACAATGTCGTTGTTTCCCCTATTAAACGAAGAATTCAATAAATCTCTATTGTTGTTTTTTCTTTTTCAAAAATTGTAAAGACTATTAAAAGGTTTAAACAAAGCAGTGGACACGCAGGTCGTGTCGCTCGTCGGTGCGCGGTGCGCGGTGCGCGGTGCGGCGGCGCACGCACAAAGCCGCAGCACAATGCCTGACCCGACCTCATCTCACGCTACTACCTACTCAAAAAATAACATCTACGAATCACAGTTTAGAGAAAAAATCTTTTGGAGTACCTGACATATTATTTGTTGGCAGACTGGAACGATATTTGTAGGTAGTTGTGAATAAAGGGCCTCCGTGATATATGAGGGTGTCAGCTTCGTCCTGTGATTTATACACTGCTCACTACCGTAGCACTTCATAGCACCACCTTTGATTAAGTGGCTCGTAGCGACTTCTCTTTTATTATAAAGACGTATGGACATATTAGTCTAAACGACAGTTTTAGTTTTGTAATCTTGTCAACCAATCGTCAAATTAGTTTCTGACATCAATAGAAAATCTACATTTTTGAAACAAACATCAATATCATAAATTCGAAAGTCTGACCGTCTGCGTGTTACTTTCACAACTTCACTACTCAACCGATCATTATAAAAATTTACAACCACATTGTTCGATACATGCCAAAGGACAGAGGATATCTTTGATCCCAAGAAAATACAATTTATTAGGGCCACCGAATTGTTTGACAAAATCTAGCGTGTACAAGTTATAGTGTGGGAAATATCTTCTAGCCGAGTATGGCACTAGGAACCGATGGATTTCAATTAGTTTGTTCCGTGGCAATCATATTATTATGTTTAGTTTAAATATAATTCGGTGTGTGTGTAGGTGCCTACATATAGCAGTAGAGCGGAAGCCCGTGTTATGATTAAGGACTGGATACAGTATATCAATGTTGTCTTACGTATTGCTCATCTCGATCTGTGATTACATTAGCTTAAGACACTACACGAGCTGCCGACACCGATGTATGATTTGTTTTGAAAACCTACCGACTATGTATTGAAATTAGACTTGCAACGAATATTCGGTTACTATTCGGTGTTCGGCCTATTCGGCTGCTTTTATTATATTCGGCCGAATACCGAATATCTACATATTATTCGGCCGAATACCGAATACTTAAATAATATATTTTGTCATTGAGAAATAATTGGTAAATGAAAAATTAAAATCGATTGATTACGTATATATTCATATTTTCATTTCTGTTATAATCATTTAAGTAGTCATTGGTGCATAACACAGGTACATAATCATCTTCTGAATTGGAAAAATGGAGGATTCTATGTATTTGAATTATTGTGGTAATCAAAATTTAGAAGGGTAAGGTTCTCATTTCTTTTATAATCATTTATTAAGTAGTCATTGGTACATAAAACAGGTACATAATTTAATTCACGTCTGTACAAGTTTTTGGCGCTAAAATCCAGCCGAATACTTTTGCCTAATATTCGGCTATTCGGTCAGGGGCCTCGCCGAATATTCGGTATTCGGTATACTGCCGAATATACTATTCGTTGCAAGTCTAATTGAAATTGGCAATACACAACATACATATTCATAAATATTAATGTATCAAGGCACTAAATGTTATAATGTGTGGTCTAAAATATTTTAGCAACTAACTAGAAAGTTTAAGGATAAGGCCATAGTATTGCGTGAGAGATAGATGACTCTATGGGTATGTAATAATAGATATTTCTGAAAAGTTTCAGATGACAAAATATACATAGATAATATATTTATTTTCTCACAAATATGTTACTTAAAGGGTGATTTTACAATTCTGATGACAGAAAAATACTGTTTATTAAAATATTTATATATACATAAGATGGGCCCATTGCTCTAGTGGTTACTGACGTTGACTAGCTAGCCTGAGAACGTGGCCACAATTTCCACCCAGGACAATTTATATATATTTAATGGGTTCTGTGTCTAGGTGTAATTTATCTGTGATATTTATGTATTTAGATATATATCACTCAGTATGTTTATCAGCGGTTTAATTATTAATGTGTGTGATGTGAGGTTGTTAAGAAAAAGCCCTATTACAATTTTGTGACAGTGACGGTTGTATCATCTCTATGTAGATACCCAGAGTTGCGTTGTTAGTTTACTGTGCTCCATGTGTCATCCGGGGGGTGGGGGAGGGCGTGCGACGCGCGGCAAGCAGTTAGTGCCTAACTAACTATAAATTATAAGGTCACCAATTAAGATAACGAAGCCGTCTCCGACCACAACGCTCCAAGTACCGGCGAGCACTCAACTCTGATCCATTGTGACTGTGATGGACGTAGGCGACGAAAATGTGCCAAAACTTCCCTATACTTGAAGCCTAGAGTCGGTATGGCCAGGCAATGATTTCTTCAAAATTATTGTTCTTTACGTTATGCTAGTTATTTTGATAGCTAATATTCTGGTGAATTGATATTAATATAAAATTCTCGCTACAGTTCGATGACTTCCGCACTTCTTTATTTTATTGATTCTCACAAACAGATATGAGGAGTGATCCTAACGGTGTGTGTTTCTAAACGCGGTGATCTGACATCAAAGATCTCTTGTATTGAAAGTTACGCGAAATAATCGGGTCACATGGCTGTGTTATGCTTTTCGATCGCGGCTCGGCTCGTTTAAAATCTTTGTCCTATCACACCACAACCGAACTTATTTCGTGTACTGATAACATAGCAAAATTTCGTGATTCTCGGTCCAGAAAGGAAGGCATGAAAGCGTGACAGATGAACACACTTTCACCGTTAGTAGGTACCCACTTCATTTTTCAGATTTCTAGAGTTGTGTTGACGGCTCAGCTCTTGCTTTTGCATCATGTATCATGTCTGTAGACAGTTACAGGTCGATGAGGCGTGATTCATACTCCGGTGCTGCGGCGCCTGCCATAGCGGCATGTTATATAACGTTCTCTAATTATAGGTTTGTACGTAGTCGATATCGATAGCAGTATGAGTGAACAATCGACAATACCCTTGGATTTAAAACAAGAACATGAGTTATTGAACAAAAGGGTGGGTGCGCGCGCGCCTGTAGGAGCCATAAGTTACATGCGTATGAGGCGGCCGCGGCGACCACGCGAAATAAAAGAGAGGCGGCGGCACGAACAATGGCGCGGTCAATACGGTAGCCGAGATTTGCATATCGCGCATCGACTCCTGCGCCGCCGGTAGCCGCGAGCCGCGCCGCCGACCATCGAACACTGCAGGGTTGATACTCATAACACTCCACCAACGTGGCTGTTGCCACATCTGATCCGACATCATGAGACACAAGAAACTGCGATGCGAAGTGAATCTCATGATGCAAACTCACAAAACGACATTACTATTATGATCATCATCACCTTCCTGTCCTTTTCTTATTTTATGAGACGTCGGCGGAATGTGTAGCATTACAAAAGGTTCTGGATACTATTGTATGACCGTCGGATTGCCTGATGTCAATCCTCCTTTTGAATATAATGTTTTCAGACGAGACAAGGAAAGTAAGGAAAAGTGATAGAGCAAATGAGCTAGACGAAGGTATACTGCAAGTCTGGGATGGCAATCGGGACTGGAACTTCAATAAGTCAATGAGTACCCGCATGTCGCTGTCGGTCAGAGAGAGATCTACTGGCCACATATAAATAAGAAAAATAGGGACTGAGAAAGAAATTTAAAAGAAAACTTTAGTCATGTCAAGCGTTACCGATCTAATACTATTTTATTTATTTCTGTTTCTAATATATGTACTTCATTGTAAACTAGCGATCCGCTCCAGCTTCGCACGGGTGCAATGTACATTAGATACTACATCATGTAGGTGTCAGTATGGAGTAATTAATTATACTATTATTATGATAAGACTATACTACAGGACATCTTTATAAGCAATATTTATAGGCCCTCTCCGCTCTTGCCACCCGGAACGGACGAACGGCCTGTTATGGCCGACGGCCGCTTTGCCCTTGCATTATAAATCTCTGATACGTACTAAGATATTCATTTTAATTATATGTGGTAAAAAAACAAATTTGATCTACATTAAATGCACAATGTATCTAACGCATTTATTAGGATTTAAATTAATACTGTACTATTCAAAATATCTTCGTAAATTACCCATTATTTTTTGTAATATCTAAGAGATAAGAATGGTTACAGTGGGTTATTCTTAAGAGATATACATAACATTGCAAATCGTTCAAACTCTCGAATTTCTTCTAATATAATACGCATGTATTATACATATAAACCCGCTTCTTAAATCAATCTCCTTATTGGTAAAAACTACATTAAAATCCGTCATCATCATCATCAACAGTCTATACTAGTCCACTGCTGGACATAGGCCTCTCCTTAGAAAGGAGGTTTTAAAATCCGTAGCGTAGTTTAAAAGACCTAAGCGTACAATAAAAAAAGCCATTAAATTTTATACTATGTAAAGGTTTTAATGAAACTATGATGGTCTTAAAACAAAAATATCTGCACGTTTTATCAATATTTTTTTAATGCTGTAAGTAGCAATAGTTCAGTGAGAAATAACAATGCAAGCTTAAAATGATTAGTAGTAGTAAGCTAATATGTTCTTTCTCTCAGCGCGGCGCAGAGCCAGCCCTGGCGCCGATGCGATGCAGCAATTGTTGTTTATCGTAGCGCACACGGTATTCTCACTAGCTTTTGTTCCACTACTTAAATTTGTACTGCTTTTTATTGCTCCTCATACCCTCCATATATTCGGTCACATAACTAAAATACTTTATAATTTTATCTCACGTAGAAAGCGTCGAGTATTAATAATAATAAAATATTTGATTAAATCTAGTCCCGTACCATTAGCACCATTGCCATCCGTGCTTATCTGCCTTTCCTATTAAAATACTCCAAATTTGCCAATCCAATCCTTAAATCGGTTGACGGCTATGGGCTATAGATGATTCCATACCTAATATTATTTGAGCTCCATTTAACAAATGTAGATTCAACTTTCTGCTTGTCAACATGCGACACCGCTGTTTACTAATGCTCATGATTAATCAATGTCCGAGGCGGATGCTACCTTCCTACCTACTTGTATTTAATTGATGGGTGTTATTCGTAATTCCTGGAAATATGTAAAGAGCCACGGGTCACGGTGAGCACTCTCACGTGGCACCACGTGACACATTACCATGCATTTGAATTGAGTGACGGCTGACGGGCCGCGCCCGGAGATTTTCCAGAATAATTGCATACTCATCAACAGTCCTTCAAACACCCGCTACATGCCCTATTTGCAGGGAAGGTGACTTGCAGCCGCACCACGTGACACCGCAATGTCATCTTTAAATGCAACAACGAACAACCATAATAATATACCTCACACATCTCACACACGCCCGTCTGATCCCTAACTACGCAGAGCCTGTACTATCGTAACCAGACTGCTGATAAACATACTTATATATTTTTAAATACATACATATTATAGATAAAGTTCACCCAGACACAGAACAAATGACTTTGCTCATCACACAATATTTGTCCTGGGTGGGAATCTAACCCACGACCTCCGGCTTAGTAGTCAGGGTCACTAACCACTAGACCAACAGGCCCGTCGAATATACATCTTATTTATATAAAAATATTACATTGGTTTTTGTACGCTTCAAAAACTCTAAAAGTTTTCACCTTTGAAATTTGATCGATTGAGCTCAAATTTTAAAACGATATACAAACCGCTTCAATAATTGTTTTTATCTATTTTTTGCGTCAGTTTTGTTTCTCATTTCTCATCAATGCAACCACAATGTGCCACAGCTAGACGTGACAGGGTACACCTAATACTATATGGACAAGCTAACTTTGGCGTACAAACTGAGACTGATTGATAGGTATGATCACAAAGTTCAGTACATAGGTATGAATGGTTGAAGAACATACGACTAGATTTTTGGGAGTTGACTAAATAACCCTAATATCAGTAATATTGATGGATGTAATGTCCTTATTATTAGCGATATCGTTGATCGATTGCAGTAGCCTTTACTTTCGTTCGACTATCTATTCCTATTGATCACTTCAATCACAATACAATATATATGTAGAATTCTTGATACAGTGTCTGTTCATGATTTAGACAACAAACAAATTTGAAAAGAATGGTCTTGGGACACGCAACCTCACTGCCACTATGTAAACACAATGCTTAATGATATTCTTGGTTTATTTTCCTTTTGGTTACAAAATAAAATATAGGAAAGACACCGATGCTACGATAACATTGTATTAGCAAGAATAACTAATTCTACAGATATCGGCGACGATTCACAATATTGGTTCGCCGGGACAACGGCCAGTTTTTTGCGGAACATGTCCCCAAGTAATTCCCAAAATGGCCCCTGTTCTAATGTATAATTCAATCGATTTCATTAGGAGAAGTTTTTCAGCGGCGGACGGTCACCATAACAATACATACATATGTATGGGCCCTCTAATAAATTGGATGGAGTCGAGTTTTTAGCTCCGCGTCTCCCGCGTCTGGCCGGAACCGCGCCACTGACCCGCCTGTGTCACGGAAACTATCGTTTACTACTACCGAAGCTACTGCCTCTAGTAATAATATACTTGAAGACATGGCAAGGCAAGGCAGGATTCGCTTCGTAAGTGTCAAACGTGAGCGGTTTGAAAGTGAAGAAAGTATTAACAATAAACGGGTATCTAGTTAGGTATACCTACAATGTGTAGCTCATTTGAAGGAAGCCGTCACACCACTAAATAACGTAGGTACCTACACTATTTTATGGCAGAACAACAGGATGCGTTCGATAAAGAGCATTGGGACTTTCAGTGCGTCCCCATACGATCATAAATGGCTCTCGTCTGTCTGACTTATCGCATTCACTATTACAGCACACTCCCAAAACTTTTTATAAAACATAGGATAATAACAAACATTAAGAAGTCCCCGAACGGAAGACAGCAATCCGAGTCACGCGACCGACGACGGATGATCCGGCGACTTTTTTATGACAACAAAACATTGCGGAAGTTATGTTTCAAGGGTATTACGCACAGATCATTTAACTCCATTCTCCTCTCCTGAGTGAAAGCGCAACTATATTTATTACTGCACGCTTTGACAACCCTGTCCGTCGAGGGCGGCGGCGGAGTGACGCCCCCGCCCGGGGCCACGGGCGGGCGATCTGACACCTTATCGCTACTTTGTACGGTCACAAACCCTACAGCCGCAGGAACGGCGCTTAGGTCTGTAGTTCAGGGTTGCAGCTCAACAGTTATCTCGTGAAAAGTTATATTGTCATTATTTTATGACGTCTTTATCGAGGGCCGCATTGGTCACGGCGCGCGCGCCAACGGTCGGGAAACTTGTAAATTCATACTAGACTAGTTCCAAAGAGGGCAGAACGCCGCTGTGTTTGTTTTGTCGAGTGCTGCCGATGCACCACATTTGCTTCAATCAATTACTCACTTTCATGTAAAACTCATTCGTTCGTTGCCATATAAGTTACAGCTTCACATTACACAAACCGTAGTTTGAAACGCTACAGTGATACCGGTATGGGAAGTGAATTTAAAACAGATTTAAAATTAGGTTTGATTTAGCAAATACATACCCACTGCCTGCTATCGGCTCAGTTTACCAAACAAATGAATGAAATGACTGTTTAAGTCATACTATAAAAACATCTAAAACAAACTATCATTCAGTGTAAGTATTTGTGGTTGTACACTAGATTGCTAATATTAGTTACAACAAATAGATTAATACTAACTCAGTCAATATCATATTACGAGTACACTTTATGAAAAAAATACCCAATTCAATTCCAAAGCCCTAATGCGTTAAAAATACTGACGAGAAGTTGTACATTTTCTTTTAAACGCCTTTGAATTAAAGATAGAATAAGGAAGTTGCCGAATATTCGTGGCTATTCGGCAACTATTCTGTATTCGACTATTTTGTTTCGGAATATTATTACCGAATGGTAAATCACGAAAGAAGAATGCATAAATTACTTACATTTTTTTTTATTTTACCAATAACTTATCATACTTACTTACTGAAAACTTTATTCAGCATTTGTTGCTAGGAAACGATAGGAAATATAGGACATGGGCTGGTTAGAAATCGGTCGGAGTCGGTCGGAATCAAACTGTTTTTAAATAAATTATTGACAACAATATGAAACTAAGCGTGCGAAGAAAAAACCTTTTGCAATTTTCTTGATTGATAACTTTTAATCTTGACAATAACTCATCACACTACACAACATCGTCCACTGCTGGACAAAGGCCTCTTCTTAGAAAAAAGGTTTTCGCCT